AGATGAGGACATCAAAATGACCTCACAGTCTAATTGGCGCTTTTATCCCATGGATCACACCAACAGATTTCCATAACTAACCATAAAACAGCCGGCGATATTTCGTCATATGAAGGACACCGTTCTTACCGAAGTAAAAAAAGCTCAATAAAAATTGCCAATTTTTCCTCATTAATTTGCTAACTTATTGCTAACCTGTTATTATTTATTCTTCAACGTTTATCACCGTATTTTTGAATTAATTAAGCAAAATGTAAATTCGGAGTGAACTGCGTAGGTTGGTGGAATAGAAACGTACCGTTCGTGGTTCGAGAAAAGATGATTTGACAGAAACTTCTCGTAGAGCCGGCAAAACACTAAGTAAACAGACACAGCACTCCATAATGCCTTGCGCTCAAAAAACCAAAGCGTACGAGATCGCAGGCGTCACTACTTACACGCTGGTGTGGTAATCACCACGAAATTAACAAGTTTTTATAACTCTAAATGAAATAAGGCTGCTTCTCATGGTAATTAAATACTCTGCAGAAGGGCCGAGAACCCTTCTTCTTTCACATACAAAAATGAATAAGGCAAAAGATAACTGACAGCTAGGGATATTCTAGGGGTATCTGCAAGAAAGACGAAGCCACGTGGCCCGTCTCGGGTATTTCTTTGGAGAAATAGACCTAGAAGATGAGCTCCCAGATTTTTATGGGTTGCTTCAATCTCTGCAAGGAGGACAGGAATGTTCCCGCTGTCTCCTGCTACAATAGTTTAATCAGGTCTGCTTCGATCGCTGGCCTCGTATCGTAATCGCGATCATGCCTCGGTCATCGCGTGTCGCGCCCGTAAACGCGACTCTTACATTCGACGAAAAAAAAACAGCGTAGAACTCACAGACCGGGATTGCTCAGTAAAAATGCATACAACGCTGTTGCGAACAATCACCGCTGTTCAAGATATGATTGTTAGAAAAGCTGTCGCTAAATTTGGAAAATTGATGGATCTTCATTATTCCAAAGTCATCCGTAGGTACCTCTGGGCCGATTAACGGTATGGTGGGTACACTGCAATGTATTAGGCTGAGCAATAATTATCCGCCGTTTTCATTTCACTCAGAAGTTTATTAGCAAAACCAAACAAAAACAACAATAAATGCGTAATCAACAAACGCTCTGCAACCGTGCCTTCATCCCAGGCTTCATTGATTCTACGAGCAGATGCAGAAGCAGATTTCGGATTTGAGCCCAACTTGCACTCACGTAGCAGGGGCATTTTTTTGCTAGTGTGTAAGCTCCAAAGTGAAGTAAATACACAAGTGTTGCACATCAA